TGTGTAACAAGCTAAGTACTGTTCTTAGGTCAGAAGTGGTCAGGCGTAAGAAATGGTAAAGGTGGAGCTTTGTATAGGGACCAGGAGGTAGCTAAGCCTGGCTAGGGTATATACTTCCTATAAGAAAAGATAAAACTGGGAAGGAATGTGGAAGGTAGCCTGGGGAGGGCTCTGGTCCTTCTCTGAGGCTATGTAGTATGTATTTCCTTTGGTAATGAGGGTAACCCCTCTAGAGGAATGACATTGCCTGGAATCCAGAAGCCGCCTCTTAATTGGTTTTCCTCCTCTCACTCCTGTCCCTTCCATCTCCACACCCCAGTCAGAAGAATCTTCAGTTCAGTTCAGTTCAGTCGCTCAGTCGTCTCTGACTCTTTGTGACCCCATGAACCACAGCACGCCAGGCCTCCCTGTCCATCACCAGCTCCCGGAGGAATCTTTCTACAATGCAAATCTGATTAAGTCTCTCCTCCTATTCAAAAGTCTTCATTCATTTTCCATTGTCTTGAAGATATTGTCCAAACTCCTTATCATGGTTTAGAAGTCCTGTCATGATCTGGCCCCTGCCTCCATCTCCTGTTGTATTTATTTATTTACTGATCTTTTCTAGTTCCTCAAATGCACCATTCTCTCTTGCCTTTAGACCTTCATGCTTGTACATGATTCTCAGTGTCTGCAACACTGCCAGCACCACTTTCACTCTCTTCTCCAGCACGGATAAATCCAAATCAGCCCTCTGTTCTCAGCTTCAGTGCAATTTGCTCTGAGATCTTCCCTAAGTCTATGCACTAGTTGAGGTTTCCTGTGGCAAAAGCTTTATTAGAATAACTTATTTAACTTGTCAGCCATCCCTGATAGAATATAAGCTCTGCAAGGACAGGCATCATTTTGTATCTTGATCACTATTGTAACCCAAAAATCTAGCATAGCACTGGTTTATAGTAGGTACTTAACTAATAATTTTCACTATGAAAGCATTTGGCATCATTCTGGGGGGTTCCGAAGAGCTCTGGTACCACAGTCCTTTATGTTTCGGTGCAGAAAGAATTCAGGAAGAGGCAAAGTGGCAGATTAAGAAATGATTTATTTGAATAGGATGCTTATGAGGCTTATAAACCAGGGGGTGACAGGGTGCCATACCCCAAGAATTTAGTGGGCTGCAGGTTTATAATCAAAGTAAAAGTAGGGAGACGGAGAAGAAATTTCCTTTTCTTGAATAGACATCATCCTTCCATTGTCAGCTCCTCCTCTAGGTTGAACAAGAGAATTTTCTTGTTCCTACATGGCCAAGCTAGGTCCACAAATTATTGTTTTTTATGTGCGCAGAGAGCATGTCCTAGGGAATCATTAACTTACTGAGCTCACTGGACAAGATGTCTCATGCCACCATTGTTTAAGTGTTTGTGGGCATGTCTCATACAATGGTTTTGTTGCTAAGCAAGCCTGGTTGGTTTTGTGGTTAAGCAAACCTGATTTTTTAAATCTGAGTAATACAGTGGTCTCCCCTATTTTTTCTACTTACAATCCCCTATCCGTGGAATTAACTATTAATGGAATTAACTATTTAATGACCCGTTTTGTCCCTTTGTGAAAGTTGCTCAGTCGTGTCTGACTCTTTGCGACCCCACGGACCATACAGTGCTTGGAATTCTCCAGGTCAGAATACCGGAGTAGGTAGACATTTCCTTCTCCAGGGGATCTTCCCAATCCAGGGATCAAACCCAGGTCTCCTGCATTGCAGGTGGATTCTTTACCAGCTGAGCCACCAGGGAACCCCAAGAGTACTGGAGTAGGTGGTCTATCCCTTCTCTAGTGGATCTTCCCAACCCAGGAATCAAACTGGGGTCTCCGGCATTGTAGGCAGATTCTTTATCAGCTGAGCTACTAGGGGAGCTTTTTGTCCCTTTACTCTGTCCTTATCAACAAGATGAATGAGTATGTGTCTATGAATGAATGAATGAAAGGAAATGGGGCTTTATTTAAAAGGAGGCTTAATCTGGATATGTGTTCTAGAGTCAAGGCTAATGAGGAGGCACTTACGGAAGACCCAGTGGGAGGAGCTAGACCACTCGGGACAGAAGGAATGGAAAGGGAGGGAGAAATGGTTGTGAGAAATGGGAGAAATGAAAATCACTAGAACTCAAATGACTGATTGATTGGATGTGGGGAACAAGAGAGAAGGAAACTACTCTCCAAGCTAAGAGCCCAGCAGCAGCATCGGAGAGAGAAGGGAGTCCTACGAGGAAGAGGTGGCTCAGGATTTGAGAAGGAAGGAGGAACGGAAGAAATCGTTCAAATGTAGGTTTCCTCAGTCCTAACCAACTAGCCATCCCAGGCAACCCTGATGGCTCTCGTTAGACTGAACTGGGCTAGAAGAACCTTTTGGTTGGCCACGAATTTAGAATTCAAGTGGCATCTAAAACAGGCAGAGAGGCAAACTGGAATAGGTGGGTATGACAGCAGAACTACAGCAGCTGGGAGGCGACCGCGAGGCTCTTGAAACAAAGAACCAAGTTCAACTGATGAGATGACCCACATGAACACTTGAAGAACAATGAAATACTAATGGTATTAAATTTAAGACCTGGAAGAGTCCAGAAAAGGGAGAGAACCGTTGGGGCTGACCTGAAACTGAGAGAGAAATGTGCCAAAGCTGGCATTGAGCTGGGCCCTGGAGGAAGGAGAAAATGTGATTGGGGGAGCTCAGAGTGGATAATGTTGTTGAAGCCAGAGCAAAGGCCTCCTGATGGAGGAGTAGTGTAAGTAGTTCCACTGAGAAGAAGGTATGGGCTGGAGTGAAGAGGAAGTGGAAAATATGAGATAATTTAAAGAGAGCATAAAGTAAAATTTGGTAAGAGATCGGATGTAAAGATCAAGAAAGAAAGAGTCAAAAATTAAAACCAACATTCTTGACTGTGGAGGGTGGTGATTCGACAAAGATAGAAAACATAGTGAAGCCAGATCATGCTTGCAGTTAACTTATGCAAACTCAACCATATATACTTAGTGAGTGAGTGAGAGAGGGGAGAGAAGCAATTTAAATATGCAGGTGAGACGATGTGAGGCCTTCCCTGCTGGCACAGTGGATAAGAGTCCACCTGCCAGTGCAGGGGACATGGGTTTGATCCCTGGTCCAGGCAGATTCCATATGCCATGGAGCCACTAAGCCTGTGCACCACTACTGAGCCCACATGCCTAGAGCCTGGGCTCTGCAATGAGAAGCCACTGCAATGAGAAGCCTGTGCACCACATTGAAGAGAAGCCCCTGCTCACACAACTAGACAAAGCCTGTGTGCAGCAAAGAAAACCCAGCACAGCCAAAATAACTACATTTTAAAAATAAATAAATATGCATGCGATTCTGATCAACCTCCTATCCAGAGAGCCCCTGCTCTGCGATAAGGAGACAGCCACTCCAGAATTGGGAGCTGCAGATATGCTTTTCCCTCAGTTGGTCTCAGTTCCTATACACCTCTCATAGTATAAACCTTTCATTATGCTGATGGTGATCCTGGTGTTCAAAGAAAAAGATTTTTTTTCATACAATATGATCCCTAAAGGTAAGCCAATTACTTATTCCAGCGTGAAATTAAAAAAAAAAATTCCATCATTTGCTAGTTGGAGAAACTTTGTACTTTGCGATTTTTGCTTTAGAATCTAACTTTACACCTGAAAATGTAACAACAAGACTATTTGCAAGGGAAAGTATCCTTTAGAATGCTCTGAGTTGAGAGTAACAGAAAACTCCACTCATACTAGTTTAAAACAATAAAGGGGGGGCTTCCCTGGTTGTCCAGTGGTTAAGACCCCCCCTTCCAATGCAGGGGTGTGAGTTTGAGCTAAGATCTTACATGCTCCCCAGCCCAAAACCAAAACATAAAACAGAAGCAATATTATTACAAATAAAGGGTTTTATAATAGTTCACATTAAAAAAAAAGCTTAAGAAAATAAAGGGAATATGTTGGCTCGAGTGTGTTCTAAGTTACTTCAGTCATGTCTGACTGTTTGAAACCCTATGGACTGGAGCTCTCCAGGCTCCTCTTTCCATGGGATTCTCCAGGCAAGAATACTGGAGTGAAACAAAAAGAGCACCCCACCCTCTGGAAGGCAGAGACCAACTGCAATGCATTCTTTTTCTCTTTGCCATGCCCTCCTCCAGGGGATCTTCCCAGCCCAAGTCTCTTACATCTCCTACATTGGCAGGCGGGTTTTTCACCTCTAGTGCCACCTAACTAATAAGTCCAGATACGATAGCAAGAACTTCCACAGGGTAGGTGAGGAGTGGGGATCCCACACTCAGAGATGATAAGATGATGCTGAAACTGTGAGCCCTGGTTGAGCCAAACAGACATTTGTGGGAAGAAATCCACTCTGGGATCTGTCTTTTTCATCAAAACTCAAGCTAGCAATAAATCAATAAATCTAACTAGCCTATGTGAACAGGTCCATCCTATCCTTCTGACACAAAACATGCCTGCATTCATTTCCTCTGGATGTCAGAATATAGCATATGCAATGACATACACATTTGTCCAAAGGAGCCGTTTATCCATGCACCTTCTCTTGAGTCTTAACTCATGAGCCTTGTTCTCTTTACTTTAGTAAGACCTCTGCCACTGTGAGGCATTACTGGGGACCTATCAACAATTCTGCTTAGGCCTTGGGTCTCCTGGAGCCACCGACTTATAAAATGAAACAAAAAGAGCACCCCACCCTCTGGAAGGCAGAGACCAACTGTAATGCATTCTTTTTCTCTTTGCAATCTCCCTCCCTTCCTTGTCTTTCTTCCTCTCCCCTCTCTCCTTTCCTCTCTTTTCCTTCATGAGTTCTCCTTCCCTGCCCTAAGTCTTGCTGGTCCTCCAGCTCCACTGGGACACTGGGCTGTGGGCTGGGGGTCAGAGCACCAGCCCAAAGAAACATAAAGAAAGCAGGAGGGCACACGCATTTGCCAGAAACCCCGGCCCACCTGACTGCCTTCTCTGTCCCTCTCAGGCCTCCTGAGATGGACGTCAGCCGCCTCCTCCTGGTTACCTTGCTGGCCTGCCTGTGCTTCCTCACTGCCTACAGCCACCTGGCACCTGAGGAAAAGCCCAGAGATGAAAGGAACCTGAAGAACAACTCTTCCATGAACCTGTTGGATTTCCCTTCTGTCTCTATTGTGGGTAAGTAGTCTTACCCACTGGCTGGCCTGGGGCCCAGCCTCTGGGCTCTGGCCCATGAGAAGGGGCTGAAGGGGGTCAAACAATCCCCAAGCCGCTATCAGGATCCATTGCCATCGGTCAGAGCTCCTTTGTGCTCATTCCTCAGAACAATTCTGGAGGAATCAAGTGCCCCTTAACTCATTTGGTTAAGAAAGCTCTGCCTCTCACCAATCTAATATGCAGCTTAGCATGTTAGAGGCTCTGAGAAACCCTAAAGTCAAGACACTTGGTGAATTTGGTTTAACTTGGTGTTTCTGAAACTGAATCACATAACTCCTATCAATGGTAAAATTTTTAGAAAATTCTTCAGAATATAACCAAGTCTGGGATGAACTAGTTCTTTCATGCCAGGGTTGAGAATTGAAAATGACTGCTCAGAGGAAAATATCAGGGGTATTAGAGCCTAGCATTAGAGAATTTCTGGTTCGAATTTATCTGACAATAATTATAATAACATATATACTTATTTTCTGATAGGCACTCTGAAGTGAATACTATTTTTATTCCTATTTCACAGCTAAGTAAATTAAAAGTTAGAAAAGTTAAGTAACTAACATACAGTTTGTAACTGGCAGAGACAGTGCATAGGTCGCAAAGATTAAGACACGACTGAGCGACTGAACTGAACTGACTGAACTGAATACATACCCAGGTTCTGGGTTAGGTTCTGTTTAACTCCAGAATCTAAGCTCAAAACTAATATTCCTTACTGACTTGCCTCTCACTTCAAAAAGAGGATATTCTAGATATATGGGAAGGGACTGGAGCACATTAACATTGATCTGTGTCAGATTTTCCACTATATAAACATACCTCATTTATCCTCACAACTCTTCAAGGTAGGTATTACAGTACCTACTTACATATGAGAAAGCTGAGTCTTAAGGAGATTAAGTAGGTTGTCCAAGACCACAAAACTGTTATGTAGCAGAGTCAGGATTCAAATCAGGTCTGCCTGGCTCCAAAGCTCTGAGAAATAGGAAATAGGAATACCGGAAACACAAAACCATCCTTGTACAAGACACTGAGTCCATTTTCCAGGGCCTTCTTGGATTTTCCCTTTTGCTTTCCTTCAGAGGACTCTTTGCTCTCTGTCTCTGGCTCCAGGTCTGCAGCCAGGCTGCAGCAGCTGCTGGCCTAAGTCCCAAGATGTGATCTATCCAACCAAACCTTCATCCTCTCCCCAATCCTGGGGCTTCCTAGAGCCCTCTCTGCTCCTCCCACTTCACTGCAGTTAAGGACCCTCAGAAAATGGCCTTGTTCCTTCTGTCTCTCTTTGAAGCACTGAACAAGAAATCCAAAAATATCAGCAGAAATGAAGCGGAAAAGAAGAAAAGACCTTCCAAGGTAGGCCTGGGAGTTCACATTGTCAGGATGGGACTGGACTTAAAGGGGGAAAACACCCAAACTCTGGCTAGGAAGTAAATGAAAGATTTTCCAGGGTTGCATGCCCCAGAGAAACTGAAAGCTACCAAAACCTTCCTGACCTCGAGCCCTGAAGCAGACCACCAAGAGCTGAGGTCCAGGATGCTGAGTAAAATTGCGTACCTAAACTAAACTAGCTTGAACCCTGCCTAAAATAACTAGCTCAAACTTCCTAAACTAGCTCAAACCCTGCCTGAAATTTCACTGTCATGCATTCTTTTGATGAACGCGATGTTTCCCAAACCTCAGTTATTTCAGAACCATTTCTACAACTTTTACCATATCTGAGTTCCACTTATTTAATATTTGTTTAAAACTTAAAAACAAAAATACTATGTAACAGGACTTCCCTGGTGGCTCTGTGGTAAAGAATCCGCCTGCCAATGCAGAAGACGTGGGTTGGATCCTTGGGTCAGAAAGAGCCCCACATGCCTCAGAGCAACCTGGCCCATGTGCCGCTACTATTGAGCCTATACCCTAGAGCTGGGGAGCTGCAACTACTGAAGCCTGTGCACCCTAGAGCCCATACAAGGCAGCAAGAAAATCCACTGCAATGAGAGGCCCAAACACTGCAACTAGAGAGTAGTCCCCACTAACCACAACCAGAGAATAGCCCTCGAAGCAACAAAGATTCAGGACAGCCAAAAACAAAAATAAATTAAAAAAAAAACTATATAATCATGATAGAAAACCAGTATCACTTGGCATAAATCGGAAGTAACCATGAAAATAAGTAAAGTGAAAATAAAACCTTGTTAGCAAATTCTAGCTGGTTGGTGTTGCTTGCCAAAAGTTCTAAATCTGAGACTTGCTCTCTGTATTAACAAAGGATTAGAAAGTGTTGTGAGCCTTTCCATTTGAAAGAGATTGAAAAAAGAATCCTCTCTCACTGTGTGATTCAGTGTCATTTAATATTCATGTACTGCGTAAAATTATACCACCATGATACAGGTTCCCACACTTTGAGAAATGCTAGATTAAGGCACTGTTGAAATACACAGTGTTCCTATTTTAGTGTGCCTCTTTTGATCAGATCATTGTGAACAGAGCCGGGAATACTGTACTAGGCATTGGAAGGTATGACGTGGCACTGTGATCACAATAAAGTTCCCTGTTCTCTTTGAGCCTTCTGTAAAGTGAACAAGCAGATCAGATGATTGACAGAACTGTAACATCTATTTACATGCTAGATTCTGGAAATATAGTAGTGAACAAGAGAGATACATAACTGTTCTCATGGAGTTTACACTCTTCTGGGAGAAACAGGAGAACAGCACGTTAACCAGTGCTGTTCAGATAATGATAAACACTGTGAAGGAATGAAAGCAGAGAGTGAGACAGCGGGAAGGGAAAAGTGGTCAGGGGAAGTACTCCACAAGGAGGCAGCACTTAAAAGACTGAGAAACTCCGTAATCTTGAGCTGCAGTGTTCAATGGAAATGCAATGTGAGACACATATCAATTAAAATTCTAGTAGCCAGATTTGTTTTTAGTAGCCAGATTTTTTAAAGGAAAAAAAAAACAGGTGCAATTAATATTTTATTTATCCCAGTAGATCCCAAGTATTATCATTTTAATATGTAACCAACATAAAAAGTTATTGATATTTTACTTGTTTTGCGCTGTCTTTGACTTTTACACTCTCAATTCCGATGCCCAGTTTTTAACACTAGTGAAATACAGTCCTAACAAAACAATGTAGTTGTCTTTAATGAGAAACATTTTACTTCAGCTTTAAATGTTAATTAAATAAAAATTGAAAACCCGGTTCCTCAGTTGCACTAGACACATTTAAAGTACTCAGCAGCCACATATGGTGGGTGGCTGCCTGCACTGGACAGCATAGCGAAGAATGTCCCCAGGAAAGGAAGCCCCAAAACAAAGCGCCTGCAACAGGAACTCATTTGCTGTGTTCGGTGCACAGAGGGCGGGCAGGTGGGGCAGTGTGTTTAAGGCCAGTGGGAGTGGTAGGCGGGCCAAACCACAGAAGGCCTCAGGGATCCAAGTGAGGGGAAGGAGGATGCTTAGTTCCTTGTGCGCTGGAGATTGGACAGTAAGGGGGCAAGGGCAGCAGACAGTGGCCAAGCCCAGGGTTTCAGCCGTAGTGAAGAAGTGGCTAGACTCCGGACCTACCGTGAAGGCAGAACCAACAGGGATTGCGGATACACTGGAAGGGGAAGACAACAAAGACGGTAGTTAAAAACCGTGCAGCTGAATGGGATCCCGTGGGGAGAGAAGAGGCCAGGCCCGAGCCAGTTAAGTGTTGTTGGCGAATCAGGCGGGTACCCGCTAGGGTGCTCTGTGGACATGAGTCGAGCGGGCGGTGGACAGCAGGTGGGGACGTCTAGTCCGAGGAGTTCCCAGGCAGGGGTGAGGACAAGTGGGGCGGACGTGGATGGCTCGGGCAGCCCCGGCGTTTCCCCGCAGAGAAAGGCTCCCATGAAGAACGTGGCACGGCCCCGGCCCCCGCCGCCTACCCCCTGCGTGGCCACCCGCGACAGCTGCAAGCCTCCAGCGCCCGCCTGCTGCGACCCGTGCGCCTTCTGCCAGTGCCGCTTCTTCCGCAGCGTCTGCTCCTGCCGCGTGCTCAACCCCACCTGCTGAGCGCGCCTCAGGGCGGGCTTCCAAAGGAGGGGCTCCAGGGACCCTGGGGCCTTTCTGGGGCGGGAGAGCTCTGGTAGGAGGGGCTTCAGAGAACGGAGTGGGCGGGGATATTGGCATTGGGGCGGGGCTCTAAGGAGGTGGGGCTTCAGGAAGTCTAGGCTAGGGCTGGGCTAAAATCCAAATACATGTAGTCTTCTCTAAAGTGTGTGGCTGTTTCTTTAAGGAACCCGAACTATCCTTTTCCCTTCGCTGAGTCCCCTGCACCGCAGAAGTTACTCGAGCTGCGCACCTGCTCTCTCCCGGGGCTGGGGAAACGCGGTTACCTAGCCCTGAGGCTGCACTCCTGGTAAGCGCTTTTCTGGATCTGGCCGCCAGAGACAGTGCTGCCCCCTACCTTTAATCCTGGGGACACCCGAAGCTGCCTCCAAAACCAGGGAGGCAGAATGCAACCGTTAAGGAACTGCTGGGCCTCCCAGGCGGCGCTGTGGTAAAGAACTCGCCTGTCAATGCAGGAGACACAAGAGACATCGATTTGATGGTCCCTGGTAGGGAAGATGATTCCCTGTAGTAGGAGTAGGAAATGGCAACCCGCTCCAGTATTCTCGTCTGGTATACAAAGGGGCCTGGCAGGCGATAGTCCATGGGGGTCACAAAGAGTCAGACACGACTGAGCACTCATTCAGTCTTTCACCCTACCCCCCTTCTAAGGAGCTCCCCTCACCTCCACAAAAACAAAATGACTACAACTCCATACCCAGTCTTACTGTGCTATATGCCCTAAGGGGTCTGGGTCTGTGAATACAAGCTGGGGTGGCTGATTGTAACTGGACATTGCTGTGGGTCCAACGGCCAGAAGGCTCTGGCCTGAGGTTCCTACAGCCTTAGGAGGCTCCACCAAAAAGGTTAGCCTCAGAAACAAATAAAGGCGGGGGTTAGATAGGGGGCCAGTCTACTAGAGAGTTCTGGGGACCTCAAAGAATCAAAGGATAAGCCATGTGAAAAGCCTCAGAAAGGATATGAAAGGAGCCAGGTCAAAGAAACCAATGGACAGTATTTTCAGGGCTAAGTTACCTCCAGACACTTCAGTTCTTGCATGGGACCATTCATAATTCAAGTTCCCAAGAAAAAGAAGGTGTGTTTCTCCCACTCCCAGGCTAAAAGAACTCCAACCCAGCCATTTTTAATTCTGAAAGCCTGAACTTTTCCTCACTCCTTACCCCAGCTCTGTCAACTAGGAAGGAGGCAGTGAGCCTGGCATGGTGACTAGGCAGCAATTTTTGTTCTGGGTTATCAGGGGCCTGTCTCTTCAAGTGTCGCAAACTGTCACCTATAGCCTCATCCTTAGAGATTCTGAGTCTGTGGAAAACTGAGATGAAGCATCTTATCTTTGGAAGGTCCCTGGGAGGTGCTGTTTTGGGGAGAGAGGCAGTAAAGGTGTTAACAGGGTCTGTGAAAAAGGACCAGCCAGGGTGGGGGCAGTCACACGAAAACTCCTAGCATTTTGAGAGGCAAGGGCTCTCAGTGATAGCACCTACTTGCCCTGCTTGGCTGAGGGCATCCCTGCCAGTAGAAAAGGTAGGCAAGCTGAGATTTCAGCTGTCAATGTTCCCCAGAACTAGAGCTTTTCCCAAAGGAATTACCATAAACAAGAAAGAAGAAACTGCAAACAGTGGTGATACAAGAAGATAATTTAAAAAAAAATAATAACAAGGCCTGTTGTACACAAGAAAGAGAGTCTAGAGAGAGGTTATGTGACTGAACAATGTGAAGCAGTTTCCTCAGCCCCAATAACCACCTTTTATCTCTGTCCTTGGAGGTGAGGACAGTGGGGCTCAAGGGCCAGCACAGGTGGGGGCACCCCCCACCCCGACCCACTTGTCTACTCACAATCTTTCATCTTTCAAATGTCTCAAAACTCTTTTCCAAGGAACTTTCTCCACTGGAGACCCACATTGTGCCCGCAGTGACACAACCAGCGTGGGATGAAGGACGCAAACATCAGACCCGAGACCGGACAGAGCTGGAACTACCCAGGCAGAGAACACACATGCAGAAAATGATGGGTGCTCCAGGCTAGGCTGGGGGTACGATTCTGCACATTGGGGAAAGTCTGCATTTCTCTGGGCTTCTATTCACTTATCTATAAAATGGGAGATCATCACTCTTGCTGTTCTTACTGTAAATCTGAATTAGTATTGCTTCTTATACCTTAAAGCAAGCAACATAGAGAGGGAGAGAAGCTCTTTTGTGTTCTGTCATTTAGGCTGCAAGCCCACAGAACTTTCTGTTTCCTGTACCACAACTGCTACTGAGTAAATGTCATCAGTAATTAGAATATTGGGAACATATTACAGCCACTGCTCCGGTGTTTTCCAGACATTGCTCACCAGCCAGGCACCATTCTCCCCCCAGAGGCTAGAGATACAAAGCCAAAGACCCAGTCCATTAGTGACGAAACCACTAGGCTGCTGGGTCCAGACGACCACATGGAAGCCCAACCCATTTTGTCCTTCAGCAAATGTGTATTGAGCACCTACCAAGCACGAGGCCTTGTGCCAGGTGTTGTGAATATTGTGGTGAACAAGTCCAGTCCTCTTCTTACAGAGCTTATGGTTTAGTGGACCATGACCACCAGCGCTTGTTAAAAGTCAGAACCACTGTTAGCACTGGAGAAGGGAATGGCAATCCACTCCAGTATTCTTGCCTGGAGAATCCCATGGACAGAGGAGCCTGGCAAGCCACAGTCCATGGGGTCGCAAAGAGTCGGACATGACTGAGCGACTAACACTACCACTACTATTGTCAGCATATGTGGTCTGTTCCCACAGACCCTCAGTTTTACTTCTGTTGGCTCAGATCCCTGGTTAGGTATTTATCTGCCCAAGTTCCCCTTCAGTTGAGATCCTAAGATTCTTCCACTTTTTCAGAAATTCCTCCTCAAGCCTTAGGGTCCAGAGAGAATGGTTCTGGGTCTCTGCAAAACCCTGCCTGAGTGACCAGAATTCAAAGTTGTGAAGGTCTGGGATACACGCCCCCTATTTCCCAGCCATTATTCACATTTCTCTTCCTGTCTCTCTCTCATATGCACGGTACAAAGGTGAGTTCTGTCCTAGATGTGTTTGTTCTCCTGTTGTGAATATTGATTTAGGATCATTTCTTCCTGGAGAGCATGGCGTTACACTTGTGCCCAAAGTTCTAACAACATGGGCTTGAACAAGTCACTGACCTCTTGATGCTACTACCATTTTCCCATTTGCAAAATTTGACGTCAGTCAGAATGTTTTGGTTGCAAACTACAGAACTGATTCTAGCCAGCCTAAGAAACAAAGTGGGGCAGTACTCTACTGGAGAGATCTGGATTCTTCAAAGAATCAAAGAAAAAGCCAAACAACAAGCCTTAGAAAGGATAGCACCCTGAAGGAGCCAGGTCAAAGAAACCGATAGACAGTGTTTTCAGGGCAAAGTTATGGGATGTCACCTCCAACCACTTCAGTTCTTGCATGGGACCACTCATAATTCCAATTCCCACGAGTGGGGATCTGACTGCCCTGAAGTGGTACCCAGGGAAGCGTGGCCCATCTTGATAGACAGTCACACAAAATCTGTCCTTAACACGGGAGGGGTAATTCTCCAACTAAAAAAATTACTGAAGGGAAAAATCCACAACTGGCCACTGTGAGAGCTGGACTCTGGATTTATTCTGAGAACACTTTCAGCACCAGAAATGCTGCAACAAAGTCTGAAGCAATGGTTTTCATGTTTTGTTTTGTTTAGGAGTGTACCATTTCCTCAGTTGAATTCTTAAGGGGGAGCCCATTATGTGAGACATAAAAGTTATACATTAATATTATAAAAACTCAAAATCAAGCATTAGAGACTAACAGTTCCCCTCCTAATATCAGCCTTCGCAACCAGTTTGTTTCCATCTTTTGTTTTGGTTGCGTAGGGCCAAAAAAGGTCTTGGGCCGAAAAAGGTCTAATTCACACGGAGAAGTCATTGTAAAAAGGTTTGAACATCTCACCTTGTGACCTTGAAACAGTCTTCTGTTAAACAGAAACAGCAAAAGGTTTACTTCAAACTCTAACCCAGGTGGTCCCCAACTTGTTAAATTTGGTGCCTAGCATGTTTAAACATGTGTGTTTTTATTACATCTTTTAAATGGCTTCAAAGTTTTTAAAAATAGAAATTGAAGTATGGTTCTACAGAAGCAATACACTTCAAAAACCACTACCCTGAGGGGTAGCCAATCCTCAGGACCTCAATCCCTTCTGGGATTGTAGACCACAGGCCAACCTAATTAGCAATCTTTGGATCCTTACTCTAAGTTCCTCCACTTGTTTGAAAAACCACAGATCCAGCATTATCACACACTCTCAGGAAATTACCCCATCATACAATAGGAACTTTATAAAGGAATTTAACTCCAAAAACCAATTCCCATGTGCGAAGGTGACAGGATAGGTAAAGAAAAGAATTTGATTTTAACTGAATTAGCCAAACCATCTGTAGTGAATTTCAGATTAGTCTAGAATACACTTGTTCTTCCCTTTTTTCTTCCATGCACAAAGTATATCTATATGCACATAGGCATAGCAGGTATGTGTTTGGGGGCTGGGATGGAGCAGGAATGTCTTTTATTTTCTCAGTAAAATCACCAAATTAAAAAAAAAAATCACCAAATTTATGTTTCTGTTCACTCCAGAAAGGAGTTTTATACTGATGGCTTGCAGAGAGATAGTAGCTATTGTCAGCTCTCCCATTTGGCTATGGGAGTTGTAAAGTCTGGGAGGTGGCACCACCAAATGGTGATGACAACGATGATGATTGTGCCTTCTTGTTATCTGGGGAGCCCAGCAAATAGCTTCATTCCCTTGGCTCAGGGAGGTTTTCACATCTTTCAGAGCTCCTTTTTCTTTTCTTTAGAGTTCCTCTTTGGAATTCCTGGGCCCAACAGCTGCACAGACTACCAGAGCAATAATAAAAACACAACTACTAAAGA